TGGGCGCTGTGTAGAATTGAGAAATAATTTCTGAGTTGTTAGAAGCCCCCACCTCTATAGGTGGTGGGTAGTTCACGCTAAAATAAAGTTAAAACGCAGATTTCTCCGAAGTAAATACGGATTTGCTTTTAGACGATTTTGGCGAAGGTTGGAGCATCATTAACAAAATAAATAATAAATAAATTTTATGCTGAAAATGCTTAAAAATCTAGCACTTTGCGGGGTATAATTGGAGTAAGTTTAGTATTATTAGCACAGAAAAGTATATGAATAGTAGTTTAAAAGTTTTTGCCTTAGGGGGCTTACAAGAAGTCGGAAAAAATTGTTATTGTTTGGAAAAAAATGATGACTTGATTATTGTGGATTGTGGGGTGAAGTTTGTGAATAATAATAATTTGGCGGATGGCACTATTCCCAACTTTACTTATTTGCAAGAAAATAGGAAAAAAATTAAGGGTTTATTCCTAACCCACGCTCACGAAGACCACGTGGGAGGAATACCTTATTTGCTCCAAGTTCTGCCCCAAATTCCGGTTTACGGCTCGGAATTTTCAATTTCTTACTTAAAGCAGAAATTAGGAGTTCGAGATAATCGAGATAAACAGTTCCGCACGGTAATATTTGGGGATGACACTGTGGTGCGGACCGAGGAATTTCGAGTTAGTTTCTTTCGGGTAACTCATTCTATACCCGGCTCATTCGGTTTGATAGTGGAAGTTCTAGCCGATAACTCGCGAATTGTTCTCACCGGCGATTTTAAGTTTGACTTAACGGCCATTGGCGAAGAAACTGACTTAGCCAAGTTGGCCGAAGCGGGCAAAAAGGGAGTTGATTTGCTTTTGAGCGAATCCACTAATGCTGAAATACCTGGTAATACTCCTTCCGAAGTTAAAGTAGTGCAACGTTTAGAAAGCCTTATTACCGAAGCAACTGGTCGGGTAATCATTACCTCTTTTGCTTCGAATGTTTACCGGCTGAAAAAAGTTATTGAGATTGCGAAAAAAACTGAGAAAAAAATCGCTTTGTTAGGCTCTTCCTTGTTGAAATATATGAAAGTCATTCAAAAAGCGAGCTTGTGAAAAATCGATAGTTCGGTTTTCTTACAAGCCTCCGCTATTGGGAAAACCCCTAAAAATAAATTGATTATTTTTTGCACGGGTTCCCAAGGCGAAGAAAAAGCGGTTTTAAGTCGTCTAGCTCACCAGAATTATCCGGGCTGAAAAGTTGAAAAAGATGACACGATTGTTTTAACTTCTTCTCCGATTATGGATAACCGGCTAAATGTGGAAGTGATTAGTAATAAATTATTTGCCCTAGGAGCCAAGATTTACGAGAATAACAAACAGGATTTACTCCATGCTTCGGGTCATGCTTGCCAAGAAGATTTAAAGTTAATGTTAAAGTTAGTTAACCCGACTTACTTGATGCCTATCCATGGCGATTTTCGGATGCTGAAAGAGCACAGTTATTTGGCCGAAGAAGTCGGTATTCCTTCCCCAAATGTTTTCGTTTGTGAAAACGGGGAAGTAGTGGAAGCCAAGGGAAAAGAATTTTTTTTAGCAGGGGAAAAAATTGCGTCCCAATCTAATTATGTTTTTAACGACCAATTGGTTTTGGCGGACGAGTTAAATCACAACTTATTTTTGCGAGAAAAAATGGCCCACGGTGGATTTATTTTAATTATTCTTTTCCAGCGAGAAATTTTTCCGCAAGAAAAATTACCCG